TCCATCCCAGAACCACAAAAACAAAGAAATAAAAGCCATCCAAGCTTGGTAGTGCACTTCTATAGTCCCAGCAACTGATAAACTGTGTGTTATTTATTTTTTACTACAATTGAAAATATAAAAGAAACAGGGGAGGTATGGAAGTAAAACAGTATTTCTATTTGCTTAGACTTGGGTAGTTTTCATTTTTTCCTCCTCAAATCACAAAGTCTCAAGCATAGACATAACGGGCAGCATGTCCTGTCTTTTTCATTTGCAAATATACTTAAATGGGAGACCCCTATTAGAAAAGCTCAGATTTTCTTCAAGGTGTCACATGATCAGCAGTCCATATGCAGGGAGTGTGGACACACTCTTATTGGTGGTGAGAGCAAGGGGGGGCATCTGCACCATGGAGTATGAACATCAGCAGGAAATATATTTTTTTTTAACAGAAAACTTTTGAGGATGACCAAGTTTTAGGATCTTATATCTGAGCAGTTCAAAATCATATTACAAATCACCTTTTCCCCTTAGAACCATCTCGGGGGCTTGCCTTAGTCGTTAGGAGCCACGCGTGGGATAGACCACACCTGAGATAGCCTTACGGTTGAAAGTATGGGTTCAGGATGTGGGTGATCCAAGGATCAAATTCTGGCTGGGATACTTGTGGAGTCTTGGGCAAGTTATTTGGTTTTCTGAATTTATAAGTTAAAAGAAGATGATAATGATAGGTTTGTGTAAATAAGAATCCAAAGAATTGCCAAAGAAAGGCATGGCCAGACACCCAACTGAAGAAAGCCCTGGTCAGTGTTAATTGTGTGGCCGTCATGGTCACTGCAGAGATGAGGTGTTGACGACTAAGGCGGAGAGCTGTAGGCAAGTTGGAGTAGAGGGAGTGGTGGGTGGTGGAGGGGAGGAGATGGTGGGAATCAAAGAACACGGGAGAGTGCTGGGGAACCAGGTGGGTATCAACAAAGCCGCCCAACGACTAATGCCTAGCCTTGAAGAGCTGGGTGAAGTTGGGCCCATCACTCTCTCTCTCTCTCTCTGAACTTCCTGTTTGTCACTTGTGAAATGAAAGGGGTCCATGAGATCCCTTGTCTTCAGTCCTCGTTGACTCTTAGAATCATTTAGGAGAACTTCTTATAAAATCTCAGGGTCCTTTCTCGTCCACTGTCCCATTCTGACCTGGTTGGTCTGACCCAGGAACTTTGTTTTTCCCAAACTCTCCAGCTGATCCTCAAGTGTGGCCAGAGCTGAGGACTTCAGGCACAGACTGAGCCCTTGGGAACAGTGACTGGGCCCACAGTTGCCGGCTCACAGCCTCCTTTTCCCAGGCAGCAGGCATCCTTGGAACTCTCTTGACCAAGTCTTCCAAGTTAGGAACAGAAAGAAAAAATATATATGTACATATGGGACATAAAGAAATGACTCCTGACCCTTCCACCCTGCTTCTTTGGTCAGAAAGATCAGCTGCCATCTCTGTCCACTGCAGTCCTGGTTCCTTTCAATTTCAGTGCATATTTAAGTCTGACTTGTACATCTGAGGTGAAAAATAGTCTCGTAAGACCTGTCTCCAAGCTCTTCATCACCTTTCACATTTGCTCTTATTTGTGAGACACACAGGAGGCGCTGGTCCATTGGAAGGAGAGAGGAAAGAGTCAGTTAATGCTTTTCCAGGGTCACCTTCAACTCCAATGCTCCATAGCTTGGCACCTTCTAAACAAGGAACTGTTAAATTTTTAACCTGGGATTTTTTGAATCCTTCTGATGTAGTTTCCTGAACTGATCTCTTTATACCTAAAAAACACTCAAGCAATTTTAGAGCTGTGTGTGTTTAGGGTGATTAAATAACCTTACACACCTGGAAACATCTGCTAGTGGCAGGTACTCTGTGTGGTCATTTCTCTTTCCTGCCAGATGTTTTGCAGCGGAAAATTCTTATGCCTTAGTCTTTGTCTTCCCTAAGTCTTACACATGACGCTGAGGAAAGACATAGAAGAGTTTTATGACAGAGCTGGAATCCAAAACAGGAAGTTCTTGAGATGGCCACTGCATTAATTAATGGAATGAAAGCATAATCCCTTAAGCAAAGTAGCCGCCAAAACACCATTTCTCTAAACTGCCCAGGATGATGCCCCATAAATTTTGAATGACATTGAAGTGCAATGTGTTATTACTTTTTTTTCACCTTAGATATATAAAACATATGGAGAAAGACAGGTCAACAATAGTTTCCTGATATCACTTTCATGAAGCTGAGATGACCTGCCCAGACATTGAAAAGAAAGTTCTGTTGAATTTTGTATTTCATACCAAATACAGTGGTTCTCAAACTAATAGGGCATCCGAATTGCCTGGGGATTTTTTTAGAGTCCCACCCCTACATTGACTGCAATGACCCTATTTCTTTTATTTTTGATTTACACATGGTAATTATACGTATTTATGGGGTGCAGTGTGACATTGCAATGCAAGTATACAAAGTGTAATGACCAGATCACAGTAACTAGCATGTCTGTCTCCTCAGAAACTTATTATTTCTTTGTGTTGGGAACCTTCAAAGTCCTCTCTGTAATGATTTTAAAATACACAAATTAACTGTTATCAACTGTGGAGTACTACTGTGTTGTAGAACAGTAGAAGTTTCCTCAGATCTGATCACATGCACCCTGCAACCACCCTATTTCTAAATAAGGTCACATTCCAGGGTACTGGGGGTTAAGACTCCAACTTGTGAGTGGGGGCTGGGCACGGTGGATCCCTCACACCATCCTTATGAGTATGAGGTATGAGGTGTCATCTTGTGGGTTTCATTTCCAGTTGCCTAGTGACTAATGAGGTCGAGCACTTTACATGTGTTTCTTGGTGAATTTCATATCTCTTGTGAAAAGATGTGTATTGCTAGTTTGTTAATTGGGTTAGCTTTTTATCATTGATGTGTAAGAGTTTTCAATTATTTTGGAAGCTAGTCCCAAATCAAGAATAATATATGTGAAAACATTTTCTCCATTCTGTGAGCTCTGTGTTCACTTGGGTGGTGTCCTTGGATATACAACAGTTTTCAGTTTTCATGAAGTATGACAACAATTTTTTTTTTCTCTTGGTCACTGTGCTTTGGGTGTCATAGCTAAGCAAACATTGCTTAATCTAAGGTTATAAAGATTTTTATTCTGTGTCTTTTAAAAATAATTTTAGTTATATATTTGTGAAGTTCGTGGGCATTACTTCTTTAAGAACAGTTTCTCTTGCCTCTTTGTCTCCTCTTCTTCTGCAGTTCCCATTATGCTTGTGTCTCTGATCTCAAGTTCACTGATGTCTTCTCCCAGCTCAAATCTGATGTTGGCCCCTCCAGTAAAATGTGCAGTTCAGTGCTAGTTGCTTTCAACTCCAGACTTTTTCTTTATTAAAAAAAAAAAAAACACACAATAATTCCTATAGAGTTTTAGCTATTCCTTATTTGGGGAGACTTTCTTGTCATTCCTATGGATATTTGATTCTCCAGTTTTTCTTTCTAAGGTTTTGTCTTAATGGCCCCAGTGAGTGACGCTACCTTATGCACTTGCTTTTATATAATTGCAGGGATTGTTTTCGTGAACTCTCGGTAGGTAGTTTTATTCACCCAGACTGAACTCAATCATGTCAAAGAAAGCCAAGTCCTGACATGGGCTTTTCAGCAAGCATTTAGACAGGTCCAATAGTGACAGTTCTCTGGGGGTGGGGACATTTGGGGAGTTCAGTGTTGCTCCACACCCCAGTGGCCGGCGGCTGTTTTTTCATAGGTAGAAGAGCTGTTGGATTTCAAGGCTACATGGAACTGGGGAGAGTGAGATGTCAGTAAGCCAAGTTAACAAGCTGCAAGGCTCACTATTCCAACCAAGATTCGCCTAAAAAAAAAAGAAAAGAAAAAGAAAAAGAAAAAACACACTTCTTGGATTATTGCGAACTTTAATTTCCAGAGTTCTGAAAAATTGGTTGGTGATAATTCTTGCTAGTGTTCCTATTGCTTTTATAGAGGAGCAGAATTTTGAAGTTCCTTACTTCTCCACTTCAGAAAGTGAGATCTTCTTTAAATCATACATATATTTTGAATCACAGGAATCATATTTGGTCTTCCACTCAATCCGCAAGCATTATGTTGAACCTAGTGTTAGAAGCACTTACATTCTGGGCAGATTGGCCTGTTTGTAGCAGCTAGCTTTCTTTTGAAGCAGGATGAGTTAGAAGTAAACCATGGGGGAGCAGACTTACTTGTCCACAGGGGAGCAGAGGGTTCCCTAAGGAAAGGGGCCTTTAAGATGAGCTATGATTTAAGAAGTCCTTCAACCAAGGGTGAATGACGGCTTCACATTCATTTATTCCTCATTGCAGGAGAAGCACACGTGGGTCAGGAGGCTGCCCAAATTATGGGAACAGCAGAGTCACATATTCAGGGCTTGCTCACAGCAGGGCATGGGCATGAAGTGTGGCTAAGCTTCAGTAGGCAAATATGGCAAAGGATAGGATTGCAGACGGTGGGCATTGTGCCTGCAAAGAAATGGGGAAGCTCAGGGAGAGTTCAATGTGGAACTGGGACTTTTCTGAAGGCAATAGGCATCCTGGAACATTTTTAAACAGTGTGAAGTGGGGAAAGAGAAAACTAGGTGTCTTTGCATGATCTTCTCAACTTCCTCTAATAATTAGTCCACAGAGCACTAATGACCGACTCCAGCTCTGGCACACAGATCTGAATCTTGGCTCTACCACCTTGCAGACTGTGTGAATGAGGGAAGGTCATTTGGATCTTACTGAGACTCAGTAGGGAGGCTAGTTCTACCTCACAAAGATGTTGCACAGGTCAGGTGAGATGATGTGAACAAAGTACTTGGCACCCAGTAGTTGCTTCCTAAATGATGTGAACAAAGTACTTGGCACCTATTAGTTGCTCCCTAACTATAATTTTTTGTAATTATATATCAAAAAATATTTTACAAATATATATCTATGTTTTATTTTATTTCTCATGACTTACCTCACAGAGATCAAGACTGCCGAAAGATACTGGATGCATTTAAAAGTGCATTTCTTTCCAAGAATCCTTGCAACATCACAAAAGAAGACTACCAACCACTACTTAAGCTGGACACTCAAACTATAGCCTGCAACAAGGTAGGTAACCTGGACAAGGGATTAATTTTTAAAACTGGGGACTGCAGCCAGCAGGAAGAGGTCACAGGACCAAAGGTGGATAAGAATGAGGGAGGGAAGAGGAAATATTCAGGCATTAGAATCTGGGTGTGGTTGGTGGGGTTTGAGTTTGTGGGGCGAGTAGGGATCTGAGATATCCTCAGGGTTTAGGACATCTGGGGAAGGAAGGTAAGAGAGAAATGGGCCACAAAGGGAAGAAAGGAGAATTGGCCTCAAATCGTGCAAAACAAATCTAACACCAAACCAAACACCTAAAGGCAAACATAAATAACCCAAAATTATATAATTACAAAATTTCCCTTGGCCTTTGATAAATAACAGATAAATAAATAGTAGACATGCCAATTTTCATTTGAAGAGTGCTTTTCACTTTATTCTTTTTGCTTACAAAGGGCACAGCTAACCCTTACCTTCTTAGGCCTGAGCAGGTGTCTGCATCCCCATTTCACCTGTGAGAAACCCAAGGCTTGGTGAGTTTAAGTGACCAGTGATTGCCCATGTTGGTCAAGCTGGTTGAAGTGTAAATACACAAGACTTGGACCCAGAGAGGCCTGTGTTGTAATGCACTCACTATACCAGGAAAGGTCAGCCGTAGGCACATCTTTTCTAAAGTCAGTGTTTAAGGCAAAAATCCCCTGTGCCAGAAGATGTCTTTGTGAAGCCATTAAGTCCATCCACAAATTACAGCCTGGCATCCCAGGTGAGTGAGCCGGAGTCACTAGGCTCTTCTCCTTGGTGCACCAAGCCAATGTTCTGCACAGAGGAGGTGCTTGGCAAATAACCCACATGCTCAGAAATTCTATCTGCATTACTTCCTTTAATCTCCCCAGCCTCACATGAGCTTGTTACAGTCACCATCGCTACTGTTTGGCAGGAATAGAAAGGAAGGCTTAGTGATGCTTTGCTTGCCCCAGGTCCAATGGCTGATCAGATGATGACCATCTTTAACAAGGAGCCAGACGCCAGGGCCTCTGTGGTAGCCCACTGCCCTCCACTGCTTCCTGCTAGGAATGAATAGGTTTATGGGACAGAATACTGTTCTGAAATTTGACTGCTTTCACTTTTGAGGTAGACTCTTAAAAAGCACCCCCCCCCACTGCTTTTTATTGGGGTTAGGAGAGATTTGAGGGAAAGTGGGAGGACTTGAGCTTTTTAAGAATTAAAGAGCTCTTCTTCCAGAAAACAGCACATAAGCAAAACAATTTTCTTTTGACTAATAACTTTAGAAATATTGAAATTCCCTAATGTCTGTTCCAGATGTGATCCTATCCCATGTTAATTATAAGATTTTGATCAGTAGCTTCCAGCCTTTTTTAACTACAACTCAAAAAAAAAATTCATTTTACACTGTGACCTAGAAAACACACACACACACACACACAAATACACACACAGCCACACTCCCTTTCACACAGAAAGCAACAAGGCACAACAATCCCTGCCCTTGCTATATGTGATTTGTTGATAGCTTCTGTTTTCTTTCATTTCAAAAATGTGGACTTTTTTTTTTTTTTTAACCTTCTAAATTGACCTCCATATGGGTTGATTCATTCTTTCTTAGACTCTGTTTTGGAGCAAATTAAAAGACCTGGTCCATCAGTACACAGGGGTGCAGCAGGAGCTTTTCACCCTGGAGGACACGCTGCTGGGCTACATGGCTGACCACCTCACATGGTGTGGAGACCCCAGCACTTCTGGTGAGGACTGGAGCCACGTGGCATGGCCCAGGGACATACTGGGTAGAGGAGCCTTATGCTCCGCGAGGGGCCCTGAGGAGCCAGTGTGGAGGGAAGAATCACAGGCAGCCACGTGACACTGTCTCTGCCTTTAACGACAGCTCCTCTGGCCCATGGGAATGCATCCCAGGAAGAATCTCTGATCCCCTGAGGAGTCAGCGTCAGGTTTTGGGGCTGCTTCTTTGATCTCCTCTGAGTGCTTAAGCAGCCGGCTTCTAAATTCTTGGTGTTCTGCTTTCCATAAGGGCATCCTTCAGCACCAAAGAATTCTAGAGCAGGGTGAGGCCTCAGAGGGACCCATGTACCTGTGCTTCAGAACCCCGTGGTGGCTGCAGTGGCCCCTTCCCTTCTCAGGCTGGTCTGGCTTTGCTGTCATCTCTCAGCTGTGGCTTTTTCCTGCCCAGAAAGCCCCAGAGTGCCTTGCTGTGAAAAGGTGTTCTCTACTCACTCAAGCCTGTTGAACCTGCTTTCATTTCTTTCTTTTTTATTTATGTGGTGGATATTGTTTACTTTATACTTCTTATTTTGTTGTTGTTGTTGCTTTTGACTATTTTATAATGCTTATCTTTCTGCAGCTTCTTCATCCCAGGTTTGCATTATTGTCATTTATAAAAATGAAACCTGCTTACTGGAAAGAATACTTTCGTGTTACAGAACCGGGTAAAAGTCAAAAGCAAAGGTCACCCTGAATCCTTCCCCCACCTCCGACCTCCACATCACTTCTCAAGGGATAAGTATTGTCAACAATTTGGTACATATCCTTCCAGAATTTTCCCTATGCTCGTATAAACACAGATGTTTAAAATGTGCACATATGTTCTGCAATTTACTTTATTAATTTTAGGTATAAGGATATCTACATTCTCTCTTTCTCCTTTTGATGTTTTGCGGTGTTAGGGATGGAACATGGGGCCTCACACATGGTACGCAGGCTCTCTGCCACTGAGCTACACTGCCAGACCCTGCACACCGCCAGATGTAAAAGGCTACGTCATTAACCAATCTTATTGATGGACATTTAGGATTATTTTAGTGCTTGTTGCTATTATAATCACTATCAGAAGAAACCTTTGTATACACATGTGTGCACGCGCGCGCACACACACACACACACCTGCAAGCTGAAAGTATTACTGAAAGGTTAATTTCTACAAGTGGAATTTTAGTGTTAAAGGGTAAATTGTGATAGAAACTGATAAAATGTCATTTAAAAGGTGACAATAATTTACACTATTATCAAGAGTATATATGAGATTGTTTATTTACCTATACCATCATTAATACCAATTATTAATACTTTAAATTTTTTTTGACTCATTTGATAAAGAAATAGCACTTCAATTTATTTTGAATTTTTTTTGTGTGTGTGATATTGAGCGTGTGTGTGCGCACACACACACACACACACAGGGTAAATGTTTTCATTTTCTCTGTAAAAGGCCGGTTCATACATTCTAACTCTCTAATGGGGTGCTCATTGTTTTCTTATCAGTGAAAGTCCTTTGTAAGTTAATAATAAGAGCTAAGACTGAGCACTTGCAAAGTGCTCATGGTCTTCATGTTGAATGAGTATTAACCCCTCTCAGGCCACGAGGGCCTGTGGTGATCACATTTTACAGATGGGAAGTCCAAGGCCAGAGATAAGTGACTTGCAGCAGGCAGGTGGCAGGGCTGGAGCAAACCCAGGAAGACTGGCTTGAAAACTCCGTGCTCTTAACTGCCACGTTGTTCTGCCTCTTTTTCTGGCCCAAGGTGGAAAATTGATTTCTTAGTTTTCCTTTTCTTTTAATATTGATTTTAGTCTGTCCTTGTCCACAGACTGATTTGGTGAGATATTCATCAGGAAGGATGTTAAATTTTGTCAAATAGCTTTTTCTGCACCAATGAGATGATCATACAGATTTCCTCTCCATTCTGTTAACGTGCTGCTTCACACTTATGAATTCGTGGGTGTTGAACCATCCTTGCACCCCAGGGATCCATCCCACTTGATCCTGAGGGCTGACTCTTGTAATGTACCCTTGAGTTCAGGGTGCCAGTATTTTGTTGAGGACTTTGGCTTCTATGTTCATTGAGGATATTGGCTTATAAATTTCTTTTCTTGTAAGACCCTGCCTGGCTTTGGAATAAGGGTACACTGGCCTTGATGAAAGACTTTAGAAGTATTCTTCCACTTTCTTTTTTTTTTTTTAAGCTTAGAAGGGTAGGTATTAGTTATGTAAGTATTTGGTGGAATTCAGCAGTGAAGCATCAGATCCTGGCTTTCTTTAATGGAAGAATTTAAACTAATGATTCAATCTCATTACTTAATATTGGTCTGTTCAGAGTTATTTTACTTTGGTTCTTTTTTAAAATTTGTTCTAATTAGTTATACATGACATTAGAATGCACTTTGACACATCATACATAAATGGAGTATAACTTCTCATTCTTCTGGTTGTACTTGATGTAGAGTTACACCGGTCATGTAGTCATATATGCATATAGTGTAATAATGTCCGAGTCATTCTACTATCTTTCCTATCCCTATACCCCCTCCCCTCCCTTCATTCCCTCCTGCCTGATCCAAAGTAACTCTATCCTTCTCTTGATATTTACAAGCCAATATCCTTGATGAACAAACAAGCAAAAGCCGTCAACAAAATGCTGGCACACTGAACTCAATGATACATTGTGAATTAGCATCCACATATCAGAGAGAACTTTCTGCTTTGGTTCTTTGGGATTGGCTTATTTCACTTAGCATGATGTTCTCTAGCTTCATACATCTACCTGCAAATGCCATCATTTCATTCTTCTTTATGGCTGAGTAGTATTCCATTGTGCATATATACCATATTTTCTTTATCCATTCATCTGTTGAAGGGCACCTAGGTTGATTCCATAATTTAGCTATTGTGAGTTGAACTGCTATAAACATTGATGTGGGTGTGTCACCATAGTATGCTGACTTTAAATTCTTTGGGTATAAACCGAGGGGTGAGATAGCTGGGTCAAATGGTTGTTCCATTCCAGGTTTTCTGAGGAATCTCCATACTGCTTTCCTTAGTGATTACACCAATTTGCAGTCTCACCAGCAATGTATGAGTGTGCCTTTTCCCCCACATCCTCATCAACATTTATTATTGCTTGTATTCTTGATAATTGCATTTCTGACTGGAGTAGTTTTGATTTTCATTTCTCTAATTGCTAGAGATGATGAACATTTTTTCATATATTTGTTGATTGATTGTATTTCTTCTGTGAAGTTTCTGTTCAGTTTCTTAGCCCATTTATTGATTGGGTTATTTGTTTTTTTGGTGTTAAGTTTTTTGAGTTATTTATATATCCTGGAGATTAATGCCCTGTCTGAAGTGCATGTGGTAAAGATTTTCACCCATTCTGTAGGCTCTGTCTTCACATTCCTGATTGTGTCCTTTGCTGAAAAGCAGCCTTTTACTTTGAATCCATCCTATTTATTGGTCCTTGATTTTACTTTTTGCGCTTTAGGGATCTTGTTAAGGAAGTCAGATCTTAGGCCGACATGGGGAAGATTTGGGCCTACTGTTTCTTCTATTAGTCGCAGGGTCTCTGTTCTAGTTCCTAAGTCTTTGATCCACTTGAATTGAGTTTTGTACATGGTGAGAGATAGGGGTTTAATTTCATTTTGTTATATATGGGTCCCAGTTTTGCCAGCACAATTTTTTGAATAGGCTATCTTTTCTCCAATGAATGTTTTTGGTGCCTTTATCTAGTATGAGATAAAAAAAGCCCTGGACTAGATGGATTCTCAGCCAAGTTCTACAAGACTTTCAAAGAAGAATTAACACCAATACTCTTCAAATTATTCCATGAAATAGAAAAGGAGGGAACCCTTCCAAACTCATTCTAGAAGGCTAATATTACCCTGATACCAAAATCAGACAAAGACACATCAAGAAAAGAAAACTGCAGATCAATATTCCTGATGAACATAGATGCAAAATTTCTCAATAAAATTCTGGCAAATTGCATACAAAAACTTATTAAAAAGATAGTGTACTATGATCAAGTGGGGTTCATCCCAGGGATGCAAGTTTGGTTCAACATACAGAAATCAATAAAGGTAATTCATCATATTAATAGATTTAAAAATAAGAATCATTATGATCATCTCAATAGATGCAGGAAAAGCATTTGACAAAACATAGCATCCCTTCATGTTCTAAACACTAGAAAAACTAGGGATAGTAGGAACATAACTTAACATTGTAAAAGCTATTTATTCTAAACCCAAGGCCAACATCATTCTAAATGGAGAAAAATTGAAAACATTCCTTCTAAAAACTGGAACAAGACAAGGATGCCCTCTTTCACCAATTCTATTCAACATTGTCCTTGAAACTCTAGCCAGAGCAATTAGTCAGAAGAAAGAAATTAAAGGAATACAAATAGAAAAAGAATAACTCAAACTATCACTATTTGCTGATGACATGATTCTGTATTTAGAAGATCCAAAAAATTCCACCAGAGAACTTTTATAACTAATAAATGAATTCAGCAAAGTAGCAGGATATAAAATCAACACCCATAAATCAAATGCATTCCTATACATCAGTGATGAATTCATTGAAACAGACATTAGGAAAAATACCTCCTTCAAAATAACCTAAATAAAATAAAATGCTTGGGAATCAATCTAAAAAAAAGAAGTGAAAGACCTCTACAATGAAAACTACAGAACACTAAAGAAAGAAATTGAAGAAGAACTTAGATGATGTAAAGACCTCCCAAGCTCCTGGATAGGCAGAATTAATATTGTCAAAATGGCCATACTACCAAAAGCAATATACAAATTCAATGCAATTCCTATTAAAATCCCAATGACATTTTCATAGAACTAGAAAAAGCATTTGGAAATATAGGAGACCCAGAATAGCCAGAGCCATCCTTAGCAAGAAGAGTGAAGCCAGAGGCATCACAATACCAGACCTTACTATACTACAGAGCCATAATAATAAAAATGGCATGGTATTGGCACCAAAACAGACACATAGACTAATGGTACAGAATAAAAGACACAGAGACAAACTCACATAAACACAGTTATCTCATACTAGACAAAGGTGCCACAATTGTTCAGAATTTTTATTAATTCATGATTCAGTTGTTATAGTTTGTATTTGTTTAGGAATTGATTTCTTTTAGGTTATGCACTTTGTTAGTGTGTAATTGTCACTAGTAGTCAGTTATGAGCATTTATATTTGTGGTAACAGTTGTAATGTCTCCTCTTTCACTTCTGATGTTGTTTATTTGAGTCTTTTCTTTTTTTCTTAGTGTAGATAAATGTTTGTTGATTTCATTTAACTTTTTAAAAAACCAACTCTCAGTCTTATTGATTTTCTCTATTTCATTTATTTCTGTTCTGCTCTTTATTTTATTTCCTTTCTTCTACTAACTTTGAGCTTAATTTGTTAATTCTTTTTCTAGTTCCTGGAGACATATCACTAAATTATTTATTTGAAACCTTTCTCCTTTTTTTTTTTTGCTGTTGTTTTGTTTTTGTGGTGCTGGGGATTGAACCCAAGGCCTTGTGCATGGGAGGCAAGCACTCTATCCACTAAGCTATATCCCCAGCCCTTTCTCCTTTTTGATCTAGGCATTTATTGGTGTAAATTTTCCTCTTAAAACTCAGTTTGATGTGTCTCTTAAGTTTGGGCATGTTGTATTACTGTTTTCATTCATCTTGAGATATTTTTAGTTTCCCTTTTAATTTTTTCATTGTTTGATGGGTTGTTCAGGACCATGTTGTTTGATTTCTATGTTGTTTAATTTCTACATAGTTGTGAATACATATGTATTTTCTCCTGCTATTGATATCTAGTTCATATCACTATGTTCAGAAAGACTGTCCTCCAGGTCAAACAAGTCTAGTGTCAGTGCTTCTCCAAAATGCACAGAGGTGGGAGCCTCCCCGTCTGGGTGAGGTTATTGAGAGGCTTCTTGACTGAGTGGAACCACGGCTTGACTTCTAGGTCAAGCAGCTCCACTCTGCTTCTCTAAAATGGGAAAGCATTCCCCTACCCAGCCTCAGAGCATACACCAACAACACCAGCCAGGTGGGAAAATGCTTCAAGCTAGGTTAGACTTCCCAGTGTGATTCAGAAGGTGAGCAGCTCAGCTTTGCAGTGAAGTTGGCTGGGAAACAGTTGGTAGAAATACCGAGGTGCCACCGAGACTCATGTGTCAGCCTATGACTCTGTCTTCTTTCTTTGTTTCCACTTGACCCCAAATGATCCACCCCTGCCTTTACCCTCAGTGTTACCAATGAGGTGAGAATGGTGTCCGTGCTAGGGAAGCTGATGACTGCTTCTAGTTCTTTTGTTACCCTGTAGAAACCATTAGCCCAGGACAAAGCTCTTCATCTGTTGTGCTGAACTGGGAGGTGAGAGGGGTGGCATAGTTGAAGTGAGATCATTCTTCTTAGAACCCTTCCAATGCAGCTTTCCTTCAGCTCTGAGGACGATGTGGGCATTGCAGGCTTGTTTCCAAGTACTGGAGCCTTCAAGAAGATGTTGTGGTCTTTAGAGTGATTGAACTTTCTGGATGGGGGAGTGGAGCCCGAGACTTCTTATCCTGCTTCCTTGGTGCTGTCTCTTGGCCATCAGTAGTTCTGGAGTCAGAGTAGTTCAAGATCCAGGCACTGGCAGACTCAGCATCCAGCGAGAGCTCCCCTTAAATCCAAGATGGCGCCTTGTTGGTGCATTTCCACATGGTAGAAAGAAGAAGGGAAATTTAAAAAATTTTCCATATTCTGACAGTTTTTTCTCTAAATGTTTTAACCTAATATAGTTTTACTTCATTTGTTTGCTTTACAATAGTCTTCCTACTTTATTAGCTTCTAATCTTTTTTTCTTTTACTTAAAGATATACTTCTCCTAGCTCTGCTACTGTCACACATGGCCATCTTCTCTCTGTGTCTTCACATCACCTTACCTCTGTGTATCTCTCTCTTCTCTCTGTCCAAACTTCCCCTTCTTATAACGATATCAGTTATAACTGGATTATTTCCCAGTAACACAAATGACATCATCTTAATTGCACTGTAAAGATCCTGTTTCCAAATAAGGTCACATTCACAGGTACCAGGGGTTAGGACTCGACATATCTTTGGGGAGGACATAATTCAACCATAAAAAGGTAGAAGTAACACATCTATAGGGAAACAAAAGTCTACCCATCAGAAGGTGGAAGTAGAATTGTGTTTCTTCAAGTTCAGATTGGAACAGGCAAATACCATAATTCCTGACTTCTGGGACACAAGAAAGGGATCTAGATCCTGTCTTCATACAATTTCCCTACCTAATTGTCATAGTTCAATTTGTATTGTTAGAGCAAAGTACCTGAGGATGGGTGCTTTATAAAGAAAAAAAAAAAAAACTTTAGGTCAGCCTCCATCTGGCAACCACAGGATTCTTCCTAAAATAAAAATGTGATTGTATCTGTCTCCTACTGGAAGCCTAAAATGTTCTCTTTTTCCTCTCAGGTAATGTCTGAATTCCTTGACATGACCTGACTGACCTCTGTTTTTTTTTTTTTAATTTTTTATTGTTGGTTGTTCAAAACATTACATAGTTCTTGATATATCATATTTCACACTTTGATTCAAGTGGGTTATGAACTCCCATTTTTACCCCGTATACAGATTGCAGAATCACATCAGTTACACATCCATTGATTTACATATTGCCATACTAGTGTCTGTTGTGTTCTGCTGCCTTTCCTATCCTCTACTACCCCCCCCTCCCCTCCCCTCTTCTCTCTCTACCCCCTCTACTGTCATTCATTTCTCCCCCTTGTATTATTTTTCCCTTTCCCCTCACTTCCTCTTGTATGTACTTTTGTATAAAATGCCTCGTCCTCCCTCATTCCCTTTCTCATCCTGTGTTATTTTATTGCTATGACCAAAATGCCTGATGTAAATAACTTAGAAGAGGAAGACTTATGTTGGTTCACAATTTCAGAGGTTTCCGTCTGTGGTCAGCTGGCTCCGTTGCTTTAGGACTGAGGGGTAGCAGAACAGCAATGGCAGAAGGGAATAGAGGAGGAAAGTGGCTCTGCCCATGGCAGCCAGGAGTGGGGAGGAAGATAGAGAGAAGAAGGGCATCAGAGCAGAAAATAGCCTTCCATGGCCCTTCCCTAGTGACCTGCATCCTCCAACCATGCCCACCACCTACCGTTTCCACCCCCTCCTGGGAGTTTGTTCAGACATCAGTGGATTAATCCACTGATGAGGTCAGAGGCCTCGTGACCCAATCACACCCCCAAAGGCTCTACCTCTGAACATTGCTGCATTGGGGACCAAGTGTTCAGCCAGAAGCTTTGGGAGAACATTCCAGATCCAAGCCATAACAGGTCCCTTTACTGCTGTGAACCCACTGGGCTGTCCTGCCTTAGAGCTCTGATCCTCTGCACACGTTCTCTCTGCGTGGAGCCTGTCTGAAGATGCCTATTCTTCCTTCAAAACAAAGTTCAACGTTAACCTTCCTGGGGGTGATGCGCAGTCTCTGAACCAGGCATGGTTGTTGGATGTCACTCCATCCTGCTCTCTCTGAAGGCAGGACTCCTAACTAATTCACCTCTCTGTCCCCAGAACCTCATCCCCATTACATGTTTGTGCATTAAGGAAGACATCCTTGAGAGAAGCATCACAGGCACTGTGCATCCATCCCCTGCCCTGTGTCTCCTGCCTCACTGAGGCCTCGGCCTCTCTTGATGGGGTGCATAGAGAAAGCCTCTGAGGCCATCTGAGCCCAAAAGTGCAAGGACTTACGGAGGCAGGGAAGGAAGCTCTAACAAAAGAGAGTTATCAGGAAGCAGAGAAGTGATTGCTGAGAGCCACCCCCAAAGGCCTGGTATCCCCTCTCATTCTTCCTGAACTTGGGGATAGCAATGGGGGCTTTTCTCTGCTGGGTGAACTTTCACGGCCATTTCCCAGAATGATGACTCAAAACCTGTCACTGTGTTCCCGTCTGGAATTTGGAGAGTAAGGTAAGAACTTGGAAGGGATTCAGGGGACACTTAGTTAAATTAGGTCGAGTTGTGTCCATTCTCCAAGCCTCTATTTGGCAGGGATGCTGTTGGAAAAGTGCTCCGCAGTGACTGACCAGAGAGGAAAGGAACTGATTGATATGTTTCCTTCTCCACTTTAATGATTTTCTATAAACTATGATTTTAGACTTGAACTATCAATCTTGCCCTCACTGGAGGAATGACTGCAGTAACAACCCTGGTTCAGTGTTCTGGAAAGCAATTTCCCAGAAGGTGAGTACCCAGTCATGAAATTCTAGAATTTTGAGACCAGAGAACTTGAAGATGTCATCCAGTCAGTGATTGGTTTCAACACTTTTTGGGTCATAGATCCTTTTAGGATTGAAAGTGTAGGATTCTTTACTGAGGAAAAGGTTCAGAAACACATGCCAGTAGATTTTCACACCCAATTTTAGAACATTCATGGAGGGTCTATGGGGGCTCCAGTTGAATAGTTCCTGATCTTATCCAATTTGGGGCTGTGGGTGCCAGGAAGCAAGGGGTTGGTTTAATCCTCTGACATAATGATTAGATTCCTAGAACAGTTTTAATAATCTACATTTATAGACCACATGCCTTGTGCTTAACTCTTTACATGAATTAAAATGTTCCTTCTCACAAAAACCCTATGGAGGGAAAAAAGAACCCTGTGGAGTAAGTTCCATGAGTATTGAGCCCATTTTACAGACATTCAAACAGAAATGCAAGTTCATAAGTAATCTACTAAATGTACAGTTAGCAAATGATAGATTGAGCATTTATCCTAAGTCTTCTGACTTTAGATCCAGAACCTGGCTTAAGAAACACTCACCACCACCCTCACTCCCTATTTCTGACTTCACTTGAAGCTGACTGGGCTTATTTTTTTTTCTATAAGTTGCTTCTTTGCAAGTTGGACAAGGAAAAACTTCTTTGCAAGTAGAAGAAGGGGAAAAAAAGGAAAGGAAAAATAAGAAATAAAAAAGAGAGGAATTAAAACTAAGTATAATATTTCAGAATTAAACATAGACATCTGAGGAGCTAGGGAAAATGGAGACTTGTATGTGTTAAGTGCACATGTTGTGGTCCATTTATGCTGCTGTAACAAAATACCAAAGAGTATGTAATATATAAGGAACACACATTTATCTTGCAAAGTTCGAGAGGATGGGAGGTTTAGGGTCAAGGTCCAGTGGAATGGATATCTGCTGAGAGCTGTTCTTGGCTTCCAAGATGGTGCCTTGTTGCTGTGTCCTCACATGGCAGAAAGCAGAAGGACAAGAAAGCACTAGCTAGTTTCCTTGAGCCCTTTTAAAAGAACTGTCTTCCCATGCATGAGGGCATAGCTCTATGGTCTAATCACCTCTTAAAGGCGTGCCTCTTAATATTATACACTGAGTCTTAGTTTCCAATATATGGATTTGTGGGGTGGGGGGGTTTAGGTAGGGACAAACATGCAAAGCATAGCACTATATTTGTGAAAATCCCTGATGTGTCTTTTTGATGTCATTCCCATCTAGTTCTCCCAGAAGGAAGTATGAGAAGGAAAACATTTCAACTTGGGTGCATCCTTAATTATTCTGACCTTCAGATTTCTCATTTGTCAAATGGAGGTCAAAATAAGCCTGTTCCATTGGGTTGCTGCCATATTTAAATAAAATACCACTGAACTTTTAAGTAACTTGGAATTCATCCACTTAATAAATATTTGTTAAGGACCTACTACATACCATAACAAAATAAAGGGCCCTGCAGAGTTTTTGTTTGCTTAATTTTTCTGAGAATACTTTCTTTTTATTTCATTGCTATTTAATATGTTTCAGGACAGTGCTAATATTAAAAACTCCCAAAGCCATGTTATGTTTTGAGTACTTGCTTATGTTCCCACTCAGTCCTTGGTGCCAGGAGTACAGAGGTGAAGAGGATTAGAGGCACCTGGTGAACCATATAGACACCTGTGCCTTTATCTTTGCCAAATTTTCATGGGTGTGTGTAGATGGCCCTTTGTACCTTTCTTTTCTTTCTTTCTTTTTTTTCTTTTTGACAATAGCAGCAACACTTCTTGGTACTTCAAATTTTTGTCTCATCTCCTTATTTCCAAGTAATGTGATTTTGAGGCACATTGATCCAACATTTCCCTGGTGGGGTGGTGGAGGGGGGTGTCTTGAGAATTATACCTTGAGAATTCCATCTTGGGTGGTCCAGGGTTGGTACCCGTGAGCATGCTTTTGAGTTGGTACTTGTGATTAGTCACAACCACTGGGCCTTTGTCCCTCTGCTCATGGTGGCAAGACAGAGCAGCACTGGATTTCACAGTCCAGTTTCAGATCCTTCAGGAGCCAAGGTCACCCGCAGAGCAGGGTCCAGATTCCTTGGCAAAGCATGCATGGTGCCTCACAAACTAACTTTATACCCAATGTCAGTGTCCACAACTGCTCTTAGACCCTTAGGCCTTTCCCTTCTCAGCTGCCTTCACCTGCTGATGTCCCCTCCTCCTTGGTTCACCACTTCGCTGACCTGCACAACCCTGTTATTTCCTAGTCTCCTCCACAGAGCAACCAAGCGCTGGCTGCTTCTTTCCCTCCCTCTTTTCCTTCTTCAGATTTTTACTGAGTGTCCACTCTGTGTCATGCAGCAGGTACACAGCACCCAGGGCTATAGAGGACAGCTGGCTCTCCGTTCTCATGGAGCACTCAGTACTGGGAGCTAAATGACACTGAGCTCATTATTACAATGCGTGATAGTAACACAATGTGAAGGGACATCGATGGGGTCAGGGTTCAGAGAAGGCATCTGAGCCAGTGCCAAGGTCCGCCATGTCTCCTGGGAAAGCATAGAGGTTGCTGTGCTCATGTTGTTTTCAGCTGAGCATCTGCTGCATGGAGAGACCCACCTCCTTGCTCAGTCACATCCATCTGTCCAAACCCCCTTTCTCTTTGTGCCTTGTCAGGCCTCAGAATCATCTTCTCTCTCTTGGTTCTCTTTTCCCTGATGTTCCCCTTTCCTTTCCTCCTGCATCGCCCACATTGCTCCTGCTAAGTAAAATGACACAGTCACAGTGCCGGATACTACGAAGACCCCCTCATCTTTCTCCTCCAGGGACATTCTTCTTTCTCCCCTGGACTTCCAAATTCGGCACTGCTGAATTTAGCAACCCTGTGAGCATGAAACTTCATTGTTCAACAGTTTGTTCAAATGGCTGAAGAACCCCGCTGTGAAGGAAGCCTCACACCTCCAGTGGCGTGGAGTGGAAATCCTATAGACTGGGCATCCTGTGCAGGACCAGGGAGACTGTTCCCTCCCTAGCCAGCTAATAAATACCATGCATGGTTTTAGAGGGAGTTGCTGGGGACTGAGGACTAAGTTTGCATGCTGAGGAGTGGGGGGAGCATTATTATTATTGTTTTAAGTTTGCAGAAGCTGCCTGTGGTGTGGTCCAAGTGATGCTCAATGGATCCCTCACTGAACCCTTTGACAAGAACAGGTAATCATTTCTTTGTATCTTATTTGCAATGGTTGGCCATGGCCTCCTGTGAGATACTCCACCGCTAGAACGATTGTGCTTTTTATGTTTCAGACCAGTTCTGAAGATTTGGGCTAAAAAAGGCAAATATTTGGTATTCTCTGAACATATTTGTCTTTCTGGGTCACTGCTTTTGTCTCACTTCTCTTCTGTCTGACGTCTTCTAATGTTCCTGACGGCCACTGCACTGTCAAGAGCCCCTGCTCATGATGTTTCAAGGACGGGTGCCATTTTCTCAGCCTCCTCTATCATTATCCTCCACCTCCCGATTTCCACCTGTGTCCGTGCTGCTCTCGGATGCATGGACACCTGCCTCCCCTCCCTGCTTCTCCCTGTCCAAATCCTCACCATCCATGAATGGCCTGACTCCTCTCTACTCCACGAAGAGTTTGAATCCTAATTCACGACCACTGGGCACATGGGTCACTGGCTTGGGCTCCTGACCTTCATCGTCTCTTTGTAGACATTGCCAGCATGACACCGGTGGTCAAAAGCCAGGACTCCAGGGGTCATTCCATATGACCTGTGTGGCCTTAGGCAGGGCACCTAAACTCTGTGAGACCCTCATATGCGGATTTGAAAAGATGATGGTGATGTGATGGGCCTTCCTTCTCTGACGGGTTGTTACCTTTTGGCCATTGTTCTCTAATCTTGCCCTGGTGTGGTTGTTGGAGAGACAGGAGCTTGTGTTAATTTGCCCTGGGCACCATAAGGGACCTAAATTACTTTTACTCTCTCTCTTTCTTTTTTTTTTTTTTTTTTGTATTTAATTCTACAAAGGAATGTTTATGCTTTCGTCTTCTGACTTCCTCTTCTGTGGGGTTTTGGGTGAAACTGGTAACATTCCAAGATTTTATAATCTGATCTTAGGGATCCAGCTACTCAGAACAGGAGTGGCATCTGTCAGAAATTAATACAGAAGAATTTAGAAATGTGGTTAAGCAGATTATCAGCCTCTTTCAAAGCAGGGCTTCTCAGATTTTGCTGAACATGTGAATCACCCTCCAGGCGAAAGCAGGAATAAGATTAACCAGGCAAGAGGGGGCTGAATTGCAGCTCTCACCAGCTTTCTGGTGATGTTCACAAAGTAGATCAAGAGTCACTCTTGAGTAGCAACTAATTTCAAAAATCAGCATGAAAATGCAGGCTAAAAATCTTATCTTGAAAATCTTTGTTAACTGGGGGTCATGTTAATAAGAAATGGTGACTGTCTCTAAGGCAATTCCAAGGGTGGAGTCCACCCAATGTGTCCAGCTTTCTGGTTTTTGAAAGGAGGTATGGATGTCCTTGAATTTGAGTTTAGGATTGACAATGTTCTTTGTCTCTTCTCTCTTAGCATTTTTGGAAGTGTGGAAATCTTTAATTTGCGTCCAGAGAAAGTTCATACGGTACAGGCCTGGGTGATGCAAGATATTGGAAAAGGTCCCAGGTACATCTTATTACTTTGTACCCAAGGGATATTTTACATGTCGGCCAACAGAAGAATTCACAGTCTCACGAATACATTGGGAACAGACTGGCTCAAGGAACGGGGCCGTATTCTACATTTAGCTCATCCCAACAACTAATTTTATCTCCAACAATGGTAACTAGCAGTTTCCCACCTGCTCAACTAGGGCCACTTAGAGGTGGACTTCTGCTTCTCCTCTTTATCCAGGGTTTTAGAAAAGAAACTAAGAGACTCAGGAAAATAACAAGAAGTCTCGTTATTTTAACATTTTCTTCTTTCTTCCTCAGTGATTCATGCTCAGGGTCCTCCTTGAATGAGCTGAAATTGATTGTGAACAAGAAGAATATGACATTTGTCTGTCAGAATAACTACAGGTAATTGTCTTTCTTCCTGAAGAAAGGGCTGCTTACCTCCTGCAGACATTTCATCTTTTCCTGTTCTCTTTTGAGCTAGGAGGCTGGGGAGTCTCTCCTGGGGCTTTAAGGGGATCTGGCCATCTCTCCTTCTCTTCTTAGCCTCACTTGGAGGATTTTCTAGCCAGTTGCCTTCACCTGGTCACTACCCCCATGGGCCTCTTTCCTCATTGTCGCCCTGAAGCAAGTCACCCTGAAGCAGTGACTTGCTCTTGAAGCTGACCCAGCCTTGGAGGCACATTTTCTGGTTTGCGGAGCAAGCCGCCCGGTCCAGGGCTGGAAACCTGCTAGATGTCAGGGAGCAGAAGCATGTTTTTGCCAAGACCTTTCTCCTAAGTTGTAAAATCCCTGTGATTTGGCACAAATTTACCTGTGAAATTTCCTTAGTTGGGTCTGGGTGTACATGTCTGATCCTTGGTAAGCTTCCACACGGCAATCTACCCAGATTTGTCCTTTTAAAATTAAGAAATGTAAAAATCTTAAAAGAAAGTTTATGTGATCCATGTTTATTGGAGAAAAGTTTTAAATTTCACCTAGGTATGTATTTTTAAAGTGACCTATGACTCTTTTCAAAACCGGGACCCCCCTCATTCATTTCTAAGTAGTTGTGGCCAATCACATAGGTAGGGATACACTGATAGAGGCCTCCTTGGAGATTTTCCTGGTGTCATAGCTTAGAGCAAGACTAAAGCAGGGAGAAAAAGGTTTTCAAAGAATGTAGAAGCTGAAGTGTTAGAATATTTTTACTGTGTCTTCATGTCACCAACCACATCATAAAAGCCGAAGGACAGATTTAAGGGATTCATGCTGATGGCTCTGGTTTCCCAAATGGTGCGAATTCCCCATCGGTCAGCTGGTTCCTATCTGGAAAGAAGGAAATCCATGAGCACGTGGCAGCTGTTAAACGGAAAGAACAAAGGAGCAACCATGAAGGAAGCCCACAGGCCCCCGGCCAGGCTCAGTTACTCAAGGCATTTGGCACGAAGAAAATGGAGTCCGAGAGCCTAGGAGAAAATGGGGAAAGAAGACAAATCTTACCCCTGTACTCTTCTGTCTTTTTCTCCCTTTCTGACCTTAGTGGCCAGAAGTCTTCTTTGTTAAGACTCATCATCTCCCCTCACTTGTGCTCCGGGTGAGCTCTCTCCTGCCTCTGGAGAGAAGGTCTAGGCCTGACTCCCACTCGGACTTGTGCAGACAGGAGCATCAGATCTTGGGACCTTCAACTGGGGGATCATATTCAAAACCACTGTTTGTCTTCTCCATCCGAGAGATTTAATTCCAAGAGATCTAATATATTTGGCATAACTCTTGGAAAGACAGACCTGCAGGACTCCTCACTGTGGCTAAGAGCTGTGCGACTTGGAAGACAGCTGTTTATTTCTAGGAGAACCCAATATGAATGTCCCAGAGATACACAGACTGTAGTTGAAATCTCTCCATCCCAAATATACCTTCTGATTTTAGTAAACTTTTGTCTAGGTTTTTCTGTATAGTTATTTAATAAACAAACAGGAGTATAGTTACATTTACAGAGATGAGATTTCTTCATGGTTCTAATATTACCCCCTTATTAAGTCCCACAGAGAAAACACTACTAACATTTGGCTGTATATCCTTCATGAATTTCCCTTTCTTTCCATACACACATTCACAGTCCTATAGACTGAATTTCCTAACATATGTTTCAACCAGTGAGTGAACAGAGATGACAACTTTTTTGGAATACTATAAAGACACAGTAAATGTTCAGCATGCTTCCTCTGGTTGGTGTCCCCAGTGGCTTGAAGTAAACAAACAACCTTCAGGGCACACTCCTCTGTAACTTCAGAACATATTCTGTGTCCATCCAAATGCTGCCCAACTTATGAGAGATGTGTGCATTTTATTGGAACATCAGATCTGAATATGTATGTATTTATGGAGAGAGATCACCTTAACAGAATAGTTGCTGCTTCTTTTCCACTGTTGAATTTCCCAAAATCAGAAACTATAATTAAGAACCATATTCATAGTATCATAATATTCATATTATCATTAATAAAAAAAAAACAGAGGTGGCTTCCAAAATCCTAAATGTCCTAAAAAGTTTCCCTGTCTATAGCAGGGTTTCTTTAAGGAAGCAGACAATCTCGTTCCCTAGGATGTATCTATGTGGGGGAGACCCAGCTACCATATTGGTGAGGATGGAGTGACCACAGTTAGAGCCACTGTGCCCAGCTGGTCATGACAATTGGCTCTAGATGAACCTGAGAGGTCCCATCACAAGGGCAAGTCTCTGCTCTAGAAGGCCTGGGACTCTGGCAGCTGATCTCGAGGATCTCTGACTTCCTTGGTTCACATTTAGCAGAACCAAATTTAGCTGTAATTGAATGAACCACTTTGTACTTCTGTCCATCCCAACCCAGCCAGGTGCCAGCCACTCTCCCTGCATCCTGTGGCTTCATTAGCTCATATTTATGAAAACGGCCGTCATTTACCTGTTAGGCATTTATCGAAAGTTTGCTTTATGCAGAGGAAGGGTGGTCCTCTGCCAGTGGCCTCCAGCCCTCTCCCAGGGGGCCCATGACTCCTGTGGTGCCTCTGGTCCTTTGACCTAACAGTAGCTCTGGAAGCTTCTGAAGAGAAGAAAGCAAATCATCCTTAGAAACTTTTTTTTCCCTATTTAGTCAAATAAATTTTATTTAAATAAAACTAAATGGTTCGAGGTATGTGCGTAGAGAAAGCATAATAGAATCAAGGTTGTTTTTAATCTTAATTAATTTACTCTAATTAGGTACATTTGACAGCAGAATATATTTTGATTCACGGTACACAATTGCAGTGCAACTTTTCATTTCTCTGGTTGTACACAATGTAGCGTCCCACCATATGTGCGGTCATACATGTACCCAGGGTAATGACGTGTCCATCTCACTGTTACCGCTGTTGACTGGTGACGAGTTCTTGCTTCCCCAATGTTGAAGAATAACACCAAAGAAGCACGCAGAGGCAAGGTCAGAGTAGAAATTAGAAGTTTATTAAAGGACAGCAGAAAAGACTTCTCCCGGAGGAAGAAGGGGACCCAAGAGGTGGAATCCGTGGAAGTGCGGTTGTTTCCCCTTTTTATAGTTTTGGTGATGGAATGTAGGTTGGAAGGCTCGAGGGGTGGGACAGAGGTGGGCTTAATTATCACCTTTTGGGATGGGATTATCACTTCTCTGGGATGGACTTTGGCCTAGGGCCTTTTCAGGACTTCATTAACATTCCATGAGTTGTCCTGCGTTTCCTGGAATCATTCTCAGCATGGCCTCCATTTTAGATTTCACTCGATATTAGACCCGATTTATCTAACTACACTAACTACCTAACTTTAAATCTGGCTTCATCATTCCACCATCTTTCCTGCCCCCATGCCTCCCCCTTTCACAATCACATTTCCTCCATTTTTCCCAAGCCCCCCACCCCCCCATCATCCTTAGAAACTTTGAACTTCCCTGATCCCAGTGGCTGCTTCTGTGGTTTCTTGAGCATCAACTACATTGAAAGTACATGTCTGGGACACACTAGAGCCAGGTGTTTGTTTTTGCTTCCACTTGTTACCATCCAACACCCCCTCCTTGGTATTTATTCTATGGCTTTACAAGTGAAAGGAAACTCAACTGGGCCACACTCTCCAGTCATTCACTCCGGGACTGGGCCTTTCTCTGTGTCCCTGCAGAGAGGGGCGTGTGTGGAAGCTCAGTGGTCTGTGTGTACTTTTGTTGCTGGGAACAGGGCTTCTTTCATTGTTGTATTCAACTGCCTCTTAATCTCTTGTCTTGCTTTCCTCTCCTAGGCCCGCCAGGTTTGTCCAGTGTGTGAAAAACCCTGAACACCCATCTTGCAGATCTCTCTAAGATCTGAGCCACGGCTGCTTTAGATCTCTGACTCCTTGCAGTAGACACCCTGTGCGGGACTCAGAAGTCACACTGGAGGAGAGCCGAAGCCATGGGGAGGGAGCATCCTCTATCACTATGTCAACGTGGGAGATGGGCACCTTTCCCCCCAAAGTCTTAAAATAACTTCTGTTATAGGCATAGTTCTTATTGTGTTCTACTAATAATCAAGAAAAAAAAAACTGTGTTATAAAATCAGAATGAAAATTTTATATTAAGTTATTTCCTTTTAATGTTATGTGATCCTTTGATATTGGTAACATCCTTTTTTCCCTATCTTGGGGTGGTGGTTGTGGGGGTTGAATCCAGGGCCTTAGCACATGCTGGGCTAGTGCTCTACCACTGAGCTACACCTCAGCCCCTCCTTGCTATTGAATAGTGACTGTGGCAAACCTCTCCTATTAGACCGGGAAAAATAAAGAAAATAAATGGGCAAGCTTCTCAGAGACACTACATTTCCAAATGGATGCCATTGTCTCATGATCTATTTTTGTTCCCTTCCCTCTGATAGGTCAACTCTAGACCCCGTGGTGCTGGGTCATAGTGAGGAAAGTGCTCAGAAGGATTTAAGTCTCAGGTGTACATGGTGCTTCATCTCTAACCCCTCCCACAGCCCCAACACCCATAAATTGGTATTATTATCTTCCTTTATTGAGATGAGAAAATGGGAGCACAGAGAAGTTGCATAATTATTTAAAGTCAAACATTTTGTATCAAGGTAGAGGCTGGATTTGCACTCAGGTCTCTCTAACTCCAAAGTATATATTCTCTTTCTGTCTAGCTGTTAAGATCAAATTGGCAATGATTTATGTTCTTTTCCAACAAATGTGTGTTGGATTAAGTTGAATATAATAGAATCTGGAATGCAATTTCTCTGGGTGGCTTCAAAACAGATTAACTTTTTCCCCCCAAATCTTCTCCCCCTCATGCTCAGTGTCTCATACATGTAGTAGATAAAATATATTAGTTCCTGATACTGGCAATTTATGTTTTCTTAGATCTGTCTTGCTTAGGATTTACCAATTTTATTACTTTCTCAAAGTACTAATGTTTAGCTTTGTTGATTTGTTTTTTCTATTTAATTGTTTTTGCTCTTTTCTTAATTTTTAGAAATATACAAATTCCTTCTAATTTCTCTATTCATTTTCTTAAACAAAACCTTAGATCACTGATTTTCAGTTTGCTTTCTAATACATGTTTCAGTACTACAAATTCTCCTCTGAGCCCTGCTTTAGCTATAGTTCTTAAGTTTTGATATGTCTCCTTTCACTATTATTCCACTAAGAATATTTTCTGATTTCACAGTGATTTAGAAATATGCTGCTGAATTTTCAACATCTGGAGATTTTTGAATTTTTAAAAAATATATGTAATGAATCAGAATTAATAAACTAAATTGAGACAACATGGAAAAAAATTGAGAACCCATTAAGTAATTTGCCTGATTTGTTGAAAACAGTATCAATTAGGGGGTCAGGCATTTCTGGTTTTTATCTTCGCACAATGTTGTGATCTTAAGCAACCTACCTAACCTCCTCTCTTAACTTCAACTTTCTTGCTAAAGATTATTAATTTACCCCATTAAAATTGGTGAGTACTAAAGACTATGACAAAAATTGGCAGCCTAGCACAAAAATTGACAAGCCTAGAACAAAAATTGAAAAGCCTAGAATTTTGTATATACCCAATCACGAGGCAAGGTGGGCTGCTCTCTGCCTCCCCCTAGTGGATAATCCTGTTTACTTCATGAGTCCTTGCAGCTACAGCCACTGTGGTCAGTGCAGTCTTCAAGAGTCCACTCTCCACATAGGCATGTCCTCAATGGGAAGTTGGTCTTGACTGGACAGGAATGTGGTGTTTGGAACCAGTTCTGACTGAGAGTCAGACTTGCTCCAAGTTTCAATGAGCCCCACCTGCAGAAGGGCTTCAGAAGCAGGTCCTTTCCAATCAACCAGACATTAATGTCAACATCTGGAGATTTTTGAATTTTTAAAAAATATATGTAATGAATCAGAATTAATAAACTAAATTGAGACAACTTGAAAAAAAATTGAGAAACCGTTAAGTAATTCGCCTGATTTGTTGAAAACAGCATCAAGTCTGGTGTCTGATTTGTGGACTTACTAGAGTCATTGTTCACCAGCACAACCCTGAAGTGGCTGCCTGTGTCAGAAAGATATTCTCCTTCACATCTCCTTCCAAAGATGACATGAGTACTGTAGAAACCAATTTATGAGACGTCCCTTAAGAAGAGCCACACTAGTGGTCAAGTTCAGAGCCAATGGAGACCTCAGAGGAAGCTGGCCACAAGGTCTTCACACAGAGTTGCCGAGGGCACTGGGGAGCTACAGAGGTGGCTCAGGGGCTGGGTATCGTTCCTCTCACCACCTTTCCTATCTGTATTTTCATTACCCAGGTGCCCCATCCCTGCTGCTTTTCTCACTCCCTGCAATTCTGACTTTGAGTTTCTTTCTGTTGACGAAGCAGCCATCTCCAGACCTGAGGACCTGCTCCTGCAAATAGATGCCTCACATTCCTCTTCTTATAAGTGACAGCTGGATCACTGGTTGCTTGTAAACTCCCTGTTATACTCATGAACGTGTTATCACCTGTCTTCATACTCCATTATTGTTTGAACTAGGAAATTTTCTTACCATCCCTCCTTGTACCCACCTTCATAGTTACCCCAAGGCGGTCAAAATGACCTATGCCAGAATGTCACTTTTCTGACTTCCTAAGGCTGGGATGGCTCCCAACCTTATAATGTTTAAGGCACACTTTCAAATACCTTTCTGAAATTTGATGCTGAATACTTGAGGCTGAATAATTACAAGAACAGGTAAGCACATGAGAATGTGTGTGTGTGTGTGTGTGTGTAAGCGCGTGCACTTCTGTGTATGCCCTGTTACAAGAACAGTGTTTGTCAGTGCCCAGTAATTACAGCATTCAGCATTCTTATATAACTAACAAAGCTATCAAATAATTTGGCAAAACATGTTACTTCATTGGCTCTGTCTTGGCAGCTCCTTGTGCCTCTTAGTGTTGTTTGAAACCAGCTCAACCCTGGGCTACGCATTTTCTGTTGCAAAGGATAGTCTCTAGTACTGCAGTGTAGACTGACTTCTTGGGCGCCCATTTCTCCTTACAACAATCCCTAAATCTGTAGCTTGAGTATCTCAGTTGGACTGCACAGGATACTGTTTTGGTTGGTTTTTAAATGGCAAGTAGTTACACATACTGGATAATTTATATGTAGGAAAAATAAAAAAATATTTAAAGTAAAATGGTGAAGTACACCTAAAGGACTATGTAACTTTAAAGGTGTTCTATAAAAGCAGTTTTAAACTAAATGTTTTCTACCGTTTTTAAAAGCAAAGAATTTACTACTGAGTCATCATTTTAATATATAATTTTTAACAGTCCATCAAGAGCTCAGTAGTAGGGGGCTGACCTGAGAAGCAGTGTTAGCTGGCCCTCAGCCCACGCACAAAACACAGAAGGCTTTGAACTGCTTCCCGACAGAGCACCCTTGAACTTGATTCAGTAGATACACTGCCCTTCTCATTCCCTGCTCAGAATGCAAGTAGCACAAGGTGGGGAGAACCACATAATCAAGGGGCGGATGACCCACTGGGCTAGTTCATTAACACCTGTGACTCTCTAGTCTTGAATATATTGAAAACACACAAAAAGAATTATACAAATAATAGAAAAATAATACAACTTCATGCAATTCTTAAACAGTTGCTTCTGGGCTTAGAGGAAGCACTAGTGAACATATTAAACCATTAATACAGAGCCAAAGACCAGAGGATCTCCCACCCACCCCTGCCCCAAGGTGGAGTGAGTCAAAATGGCCTTCTTGCCTGCCCACAGGATCAGAGGGAGGTAGGAGTGGATGTTGAGAGGAGTCCAGAGTTGCACCCTGTTGGACACCTGGAAATCTTCACTCCTTTTTCCTTTGAGACACCAAAGAAGGAAGATTATTGTTTTGCTCTTCTAGTAAGAGTCTCAGGCTGAGAATCACACACTGATCCGTCTTTGTTTCCTGTTAAGAAAATTCACCCGTAGCCTTAGAGGATGTGATGTAATGATGTTGCAAAATGTGTGGTTATTAGCAAATGACATGGTAATTTAGTGTACTAGCAGGTCAAAAACATTTAAAAGCTTGATACAAAATGCAGACCTGTCAAGAAAAGGAAACTCACATTCATTGTATCAGGTACCTCAATAAGTCACACCACCTAGCGATCTCACTGCAACCACGGAATCCAACTTTTACTGAAAGCAAATTTACTAAAGACGGTCAGGAGCTTACAGGTTCTCCAGGAGGGCAAGAAAACAGTTTGGAAATTAACCAATAACAACACCACCAGTTACTACACTGATTGGCCTGTGGACCCTTGGCTGTGCCAGAACATGTCCATGGCTGTTCTTGGGAATAGAAGCCACCAACATGGATGATGGAGGGATCCTGGTGACTGTTTTCTTGCTGTGCCAGCCTCAAATCCACAGTTGCACAGATCTGTCTGGCGTGTAAGAGCTGATATAAGTAAAATTTTCAGAACAGAACTTAGCCTTTCTGTCTGTAAAATGGGAGCCATACTAATACCCACTTGTAAGCATTGCTTGGAGCATTAAATGAGATGATGCATGTAAAATTCTTCAAGAGTGCTGAGCATATATAAATAGCTCTATCAATGTTAGCTTTTAGAAAGTTATTGGAGTCCATTTTTATTATGGAGGAAATTGCTTGACAAACTAACTTGATTAGAAGCTGAGACCCTGAGACCTGGGGGCAGTGGAGAAGAGGGCAGGGAATGGCCTTCTTGCCTACCCACAGGATCAACCACAGTCTCTCCCAAGCTTTGAATCACCCTAGAAGGCCAGCAATTTCCCCCCTGAAGGAAATGAACCAGGTATCCTAGGACCTGTGATTAAGAGCTGTCTCCCATCCCATCCCCTCTACCTGTGACAAAATGTGGCAAGAGAACCTTCCCTGCACCCCACCTAAGAATTTAACATCTGCCATTTTCATCCTTTAAGCAGATGGAGTTCAGTATTCTCTCCTGGCATTGCCGGTCCAGTCCCCTGCTGTCCTGGCCAGGACCCCCTGCTCTGGCAATAAAGGGGAGCAGCTCTCCTTGATGGAAATGAGAAGCCCCCACCCTTTATCTTGAGCAGAAAGAAGAAAGGTGCCTAAGACCGCTGGTGGCAACTGGGAGACACTTGTAGGCTCTGTCCCCTGCAGCCACTCTCAGGCCACTTTCCCCCACCCCCTCCGCCCTGGTCTTCCCGCTTCCCAGTGCTGGCTCTTGCCATCCCTGCTCAGTACACGCTGTTTTCTGGCTGGAATCCTCTTGTCTGGCAGTCAGACTTAGTGATTGAGTGAGGCTTTGGGCCAGCTCCCTGGGCACGGGTTCCACTTCACCTGCTGTGAGTTATGTGACCTTGGCCAAGGTACTTA